TTCGCATGCGGAGAGGCGCTCAATGCAAGTGCAGCAGGCGTAGAGCTGCCCCCTTCTTCCCGCAGGCGATCTGAGGAATATCTGGTCTCTGGAGATGACTCAAGGCCCAAGCTTTCAAGCTCAGTTTCGTTAACTGTTGTTATTTTTTCAGTTAAATCAAAATTATGAATTAATAAGTACAGACACAGTCCAATTAAATTCTCCTCGAGCGACCAATTAGAAAATCATCGACGTTTAAGAACAAAGATGTTTATTAGCATGTACTATGTTTCAATTTTAATACCTACTCCACACGGAATCCCGCCTCACAAGGGAAATTCGCTTGTCATCTATGTACGGATATTCGCAAATGGAGATAACACCAACCTGCGACTACATTTCGCGTTGAAGGAGTAATGCGGAGACCCCTGTGTATTTAAATATGTTTGGTTTACTTAATGAAATACTTTCTGGATCCACTCCTGCTGTATTCTCTTAGTTTACCGCTAAGGATCGTGAGAGCCGTCTCGCGTTTGTAGGATGAGGCAGACGAAGTTTAGGCGGCTTTCTCGAAAGCAAGTTCTGATAGATAGAAAGATCTTGTTCCCTATATATCAGGTGCAATGCCGACATATTTTATTACCTGGTATAGGGCATAAATTGATGGCATTACAATGCCTCTGAACGGGAGGTACTAGGCTTCGAATCCACACGGTAGCGGGATTTTCGACACTAGCTACATAGCTAAGTCGAGTTTAAGCGCTGACTGGAGAATAATTCTAGCTGCCGGCTGCTCTGATCGGTAGTTTTCCGTAGTTTCTCCGATCAACACCAGGCGAATGCCGGAGCAGTTCTCTAACAAACGGGTCGCACGCGATCAATCCTTCTTCTTCCGAGTCCTATATTTCAGAAAACATAAGAAATTCGCTAGATGACGGCTTCGTAACTGCATTAACTCTTTTATAAATCAGTAATGCAATCAACTCTGTAGATTACGACGTCCTAATAGTAAAATGCAAAAATCTTAAGTTTTTTGATTCCACAATCTCTTGGATTGGAAACCTTCCACGTGATCCCTGCAAGCCTCTCCATTTAGTTTGGAATCTTACGTATGCTTTGCCTATTTATGCACGAATCTGTAATATTTGTCAAAACTGACATACTTAACGGTGGAGACATATTTTCATACAATACTGTCATTTATAATTAAACACACGTCATAGACATTACGTACATCAAGTGTCTGTATCAACAGTTGACTACCAGAAATCCACATATAATACATGTACGTTACTTTACTCGCATTGCCAGATGACATTAAACAATTGAAGTAGGTTCACACATTTATGTTAAAATAAAATATTTTGTGCTGCATATCTATTTCAATACAATTAGAGACTATATTGATCATCAAAAAGAAAAACAATGTTTAATTTAACAAAACACTGATGTATAATGAATTAGTTTACATTTGTATTGTATACGTTTTTTAAAAAGACAATATGCTTGTAACAAATAATGTTCATCAGCTTCCGGGTCATTGACCCCCATCTCGATTAGGTTTTTGACCAGTTTCCCTGATCCATTGAGCAAATGCTGAGATGTCACCTTGACTTGCATCTGCACGTAAATGAACCTTCACTATGCGCACGTTTTGTTGAACTATCCTTTTGCTTGAAGTGGTAAAAATAGAGGTAGAGGTGCTATTTTGCTAGCAATTCAGAAAAATAAAACTTGCAGTTCGCTTACCGTTGCAAAATAGTTTTCAATAACTCGGGAAAGAAAATGTCTAGTTTTTCAAATGTTACTAATCTCGCGCTTTTTAAAACTTTATTTTTATTTATTTATCTTTAACTATTTATAGTTAAAATTATGGGAAAGGGTTCTTGAACTCAAGAAAAAGTGCGCAAATGATATTCTCGTCACATACACGTCTTTTACTGTTCTTTTTTACTAAATAAATCTAAATCTATCTCCACAATAGGCAACGTATTGTAGTATCCACACAAATCCAAAACCTCTCCACAGAGAAGTACCTCAGGAATCAATGTTAGAGACACTGTTTTTCTTTACTTACTGAGGGAATGTAGTCATCATATGTAGGCGGATAACCTGCAAATTTACTTCTCGGGGCGCCCGTCACAAGAAGCAATGCTAATAAATAAATTAAATAATTACCTCTCATTCATAGTCAAACGGTCAAATAGAAACGGATTCAATTTCAATGCTTCAAAATCACAAACCATCATAATTCTCTCTTCCCAAATGAAGAAACATAAAAGGTTCATCTGTTCCTGGTGGGCTTATGGCCAATGTAGTAGGGCTTCGTCATTCACAAGTGAAAACTTGGGTTTAATACTTGATAATGTTACCTGAAATATACAGCGCTAAAATGTTCAATTTTATTGTGTTAAACTAAAGTGTTATGCATACAGAGTAATAAACCTGTGTGATTAATTTAGCTACAAATACTTTACATCGGTTATTTAACGCCTTAGAAAGACGTTTCCGAGAAGAAACTTTAATTAACGTTCTTTTCTTCAAAATATTTCACAAGAACACTATTTTGATGCGACCCGACCTTATATTCTCTCTGTTCCTTTGACATTTGAAAGAAGAGAGATATGAGTAAAATGCTAAGATCTGGTTCATTCATTTCACTAGCACGCCATTTCAAAATGTCAAATTCTGCCTTCCTTTAGTATTTAGATGAAATAAATCTATATAAATATACTTCAACTTATGATACAACATGCTTTTCTGGCTGTTTTTCACGATGATCTGCCGAATAAAATTAATAATAAATTGTTAAACTAGTGGTTTTCCCTAACGTTTTCGCATTCTTTGTAGTGGCCACATTATGTTATACTACTACTTGAACATACATTTATGATTATTTTAATTAAACATTAATTCAAAATAACGTGTCAATTTATTCACTACATTTAGTTCGACACAATCAAAAAGTTTTTTTAATGGAACGTTTTTTAGAAAATTATGTTTTAAAATGGTTTTCTTTACGCCAAACTACGCAAAAACAACTATTGTTTAAAAAATTGTATGTGACTATATTAAAGATTTAATTTCTCTGAATAAACTTCAGATATATACTAGTGATACTGCGACAGAACGTACTTTCTCGCATTATTACATTTGACATTTTCGAAAATTCAGAGTTCTACGAAAATGAGATCCAAACTATTCCTTTATAATCCCTTTTTCTAACCATTCGTTTCTAACCGAAAATTTTTAAAACAAATTTAGAGCGATTTTGAGACTTTTATTCGTTATATTTAGCGCCAAATTATCCAAAACAATTCATATTTTCGAAAAATTGAATTAAAGATCCTTCTTTGAAGAATATATTCCATTAAAGGAAAAATATCTCAATCTTCAATATTTTATTTGTAGGAAAACGTCAAAAAATTGCACTATTGCAATTTTCAAAAACTCTGGGAATCTAACGAACATTGGATCTGTACCATTCTCTTAAATGTGCTTCATGTTATCCAAAGCCGCAGTTTGATCAAAAAATTGGTGCCATTTTTGAGAATATTTTGAAAATGATTTTGAGATTTCATGTGAAGTACCGTCAAAAATCAGTATATCTACTTGAAACTTCCAAAGCCTCGAGTTCATGCAGATTGATTACGGAATCTCAATTTTGAAGAAAATAGACTCAACGATTTAGGCACACTAGCACCTAAAGACCATAGACAGATTGTGGCATGAGCATTTTGCTGTGAATCCATTTTTCGGTATGAAGGTCCCACAAGATATGGATTCTATCTGCATCACGAAGATAATTTTTAAAGAATATTTTTATATATTTAGCAATACGATTTACTCATTTTTGCGTTATCAGGGCTCGGAAGTAAGAGTTTATCTGCGGAAAATTTGCCTTTTTCGACGCACGATTACATAATTCAATGCAAATTGCGCCTGTGGCACTTTTGTAAGCGGTTTTGCTCTAGGTAAGAAAAAATGGGTGGAAAAAGAGCGCACCATGTTAGAGAAAATTTAGATTCTGTCATTCATGTAAAGCACACCCCAAAAACAAAATATACTTTCAAGTTCAAGGGGCCACAGCATCAGGGGATAATCTGGGTATAGTAATTGTGGTGAAAATCCTAACTACGGTTATACCCTCATCTATATAGACTGACGGTCACAAACCTTTGCCGTGCCAATACCGAGCTTTCGATATCAAGGTCCTACAGAACGTGGGTCGTTCTTACCGAAACATTATGACTACAGTATGTGCTACGAGTAGAAGCAACCATTTTGGGGAAAATGCTATTTTACGAAAATTATAGAAACGTCTCAAAGAAATCATCAAAGAAAGGTAGATATGACTTGAGGTTGATTATTATTATTATTATTATTATTATTATTATTATTATTATTATTATTTTACCCCCACTTATGTTTTAAAAATAAAAATTGTATCGAAAACTACTTTGCAATGGGAAGAGAAAATAATTTACTGAACTACATGAAGACTAGTAATAAACGTCACGCGTTTTGCCGGATCATACACCATTGCCCTCCACATCCCATGCTCTTCTTGTTCCATTTCCTTTGTTTTCTAATGCGAGTAGTTCAGAAGCTTCCTTTCCTTGAAACCTTCCTTTCCGCTTCTTTTCATGAAACGGGGCGAACCCTAAACTCGCGCCTGGTCTCCCAACATGCGTGTGAGAGTTGAGCATGTAAGTGTGAGGGTAAGTAAGCGGTGGAGGCTCTGCGCACACTACCACTGACCAAGAACATCGGGCAGCCTAATGAAACGGAGGGTATGCAATCGTGCAGAAATTTGTTTTCGCCGCGTTAGCCATGTGTTACGTTGGATTTCTTGCGCGCTTTCTTACATGAGATATGAACGCAGTTTTTGCGCCAATGCCGCCTGACAAAAACCTAGAAAGGCAAACAGCCTCTCCCCCCTGTGCCGTCAGCCTCGCGTCATGTCTTCTGCCCTTCGGCTGACGGCTCTGACAGCGGAGGCGATTGTTTGACTGTTGCAGGCGTGGGCTACGCCATCTGTCTCCTGGACGTGTACATGGGGATGTCCTACAACACCATCATCGGCTGGGCGGTGTACTATCTGTTCGCCTCCTTCCGCTCGGAGCTGCCCTGGACGACGTGCGACAACCCGTGGAACACCAAGGCGTGCCGCCCCGTCACCGCCGACGACCGCGACGAGAACTCCACCAGCCCCGCCGCAGAGTTTTTCGAGTGAGTCGCCTGCTTTTGCTTTGCGTTTTCCTCGGCTAGAGGTACAATAGGAGAAACGTTTTGGCGAACAAGGAAATGCAATGGCACAAACGTCGTTAGCTAACAATTCGATTGCGCTCGGTTTTCATAAGAAACGATCGCCGGCAAAGATGGCTCAACATCATCCGACCAGGAGGAACTGGGTTCGACTTTCAACGGTGGTAGGATTTTAGACACTCGATAGATAGCTAGGTCGAATTCTGCGCTGCATTAAGGAGAATTCTATCGGCCGGCTGCTCTGATTGGCAGTTTTCCGTTGTTTCTCAGGTCAATACAAAATGAATGTCAGAGCAGTATCCTAAAAACGGGTCACGGACCGCGCGTGATCTTTACATCCTCTTCCTTGCCCTATTCTCACTTCTTATACACACTTTCCACATTTGGACCGCGAAGAGGAAAGATAAACGTCGGATAGTTAAGTATGTAGTCAGTCATTAAGACGACTCTCTAATGAGGATGGTCATTAAATCTGACCGAAGAATGGGAAACAGAGGCATTGCAAGGATACCATGTACATTTGCGAACAAGACTGTGAAAGACACGCAGAATAACAAAAACATTCAACTTCTGATGCTACTTAACATGAAATGTAAGACATAAAAAATGTTACAGAGACCGTGGCAAAACAAACCACTATGGACAATATCTAAAAAGAATAGACAAAGTGCAGGTTAATAAAGATAAACCATGTATGGCGCTTAAAAGGGGAAAAATGAAGCTAGATTCGGAAGCTGTTGTATTAGCTGCACAAGATCAGACGTTCAGAACACGACATTATGATAAAACTGTTCTCAAAATTCCCCAAGATGATAAACGACCAACAAATTCTAACAGGTTGCACGATAGCTGGAAACAAACCGGATATTATTATCCGGAATTGGAAAGAAGAACATGTCTACTTGTAGACGTTGCTGGGTCATGCGTTTAAAACGTCGTATCCAACGAAGCAGAGAAACGACTTAGATACAAGAATTTCGAAATCGATATAAGCCGAAAGTGGAGTGTAAAAGCACAGATCGTCCTGTTGGTTATCGAATCTCTGGAATTTGTTCCGCAAATTTCTGTAAAAACGTGGCTAAACTCCCAGGTCATTCAATAGACTGGGAAGAGCAAGACATTGGTTTATTGGGATCAAGCCACAGTTTGCACAGAGGTTGTAGAGGCACCGGGAGTCCCTACATCTGCTCCTCGTGAAGCTGGTTGCTACCTGAAGTATGCAACCAACTTATAACATATTTAGTCGTGAAGTAGACGAATAAAAATAGTAACAATAATAACAATAATAACAATAATAATAATAATAGAAATAGTAATAATAAATAATAATAATAGAAATAGTAATAATAAATAATAATAATAAATAAAACTAAAATGATATAGCGATTTAAATGTGTCTGCGCAGTGACACATTGATGGTGAGAATGCTTGAAACAGAAATTATGTTGGTGGTACAAGCTGCGGCTTAAAAACGTTAACTGTGTACTCACCATAATCATAAGATATGCTATACATCAGAATAAAATCAGATTATAACATTATCTGGTTGCTACCAACAAATGTAGTTTTTAATATATGGCGCTGATTAGGATAAACTTTCCTCGCGCAATGTATAACTCTGTAAATATTAAAATAAGATTATTATACTTTAAAAATGTAGATCAAGGCATCTGCATAAAAATGAACGAAATGATAAGATTAATTTGTTGCTTATTAATAGTACATGTGAAACTTTTGTTCACACTAGCGTTTTCTCAGAAATTAGTGGCACTCACTAAGCCTGTGACAAGAACGAAAATGCGTTCTAAAATTTAGAGTAACAATAGTTATAAATTAGAAAACAATTTTTGTTCATTTTACAATATCGAAAAGCATCTAATATCCTTCTTCTTTAACTCTCCCAGTGTTTAAAGTGCTAAAGAGTCGCAAAATGTTCGTGCATTACTCTTTGCGACAATCAGGTCATTGACTGCTTTTGATCGAGACCTTTCCGCTGAAGCGAGGTCGGGACATGTTAGGTCGTATCCCGTTCGGTCTGTGATGATTCTTAGGAAATTGACTTCAAATCCACCTGAAACTCATCACCGAGAGCCGTGAAAACGACCGGAAAGACGTTTGGAATTCTCAATTAGTGGATTTAATCGACCCAACTCCAAATATCGCGAATATCTCACAGACATAGCCAAAACGCGAAATGTCTTAGTCTCCCGATTTTGAATCGAGAATTACTTAAGCCATTTGCTCCTGAAGCCAAATCAATATTATCAAATAGTATTATCAAAATAAATCATCAAATCAATATTATTTCTTCGTTCCTTAATTGTTCAGTCATTTCGATTGAAGTATATAGTCGTGTCCTGCACCATCTGATAAACTGTTGAGAAAAACGCGAGCGCTGTGGCAGTTTGTCAATTTCTCCGCGATCCAAGTTTGGAAATTGCAACGCATGTTTCCAACTTCACAAATTACCTTCCAAATCTATCAACGTCGCTTGATGACTCAGAAAAGTTGGATTCTTCGCAAGTGATGTTCCAATGAGTTACAGACTGCGACGGAATTCGAGAGTTTCGTAATATATTTTCTACGGCTATGCTACATCTGAGGACAGAACAGTAAGGAAATCAATTAATATACAAGGAGCAACACGATGGTATGCATTTGACATCCAGAATGATTCGTTTAAATTGTACTCTAACATACAAAATGTATTTATCACCAGACAAAGGAATTGTACTCTTCGTGAAGCATTAAAAGTGTAAATGCACAAAGTCAATCTCATAAAAATTTATTCACAACTGCTGTTAACTCCCAAAGAGAATAATGCAAACTGCGGAAAGCACGAAAAGCAAATTCACGAGATCTCACTCATTGTGGAAAAATTGCCTCTTCTGAATTAACACGCAGTACATTTATATTCTAGGTGAAGTGTTTTAATTGGCAAAGACGAACATTTCAAGAATATTGAAGTCGAATCTCAACTAAAATTTCAGGTCGATTCTAGGTTACATTTAAAGTACTTGTGGTTTGATTAAAACAAAATCACAATCAAACTGCGTAACTTAATTATTTGAATGCTAAGAGAGATACGCCTATGCGACGTTTGACTTTTATATTACAAATTTTCTACAAAACTTAATACTGCATATTTTTAATCTTTGTTTATAAAGTTTACGAAAGAAGTATTATATGTTACAAGTCTTAATCTAATTATAGAAAATGAGTTTTAATCCTTAGACGCACGAAACGTTTTTCCGCCAATACACAACATTCATGCTGTTAAACCAGATCTTCTGACTGTTACAAGCTCACTGGAATTCCTAAAGTACTGCAATTATTAATCTGTAAATTTTAAAACTTAAGCTATTATGTTTCCTGTCTTCTATCACACTAAATATATACTTTGCATTCTAATTTAACTAATGACAGCAATAGAGGTAAAACCAGGTACGCATGAAACGTTATTAAGATGACACCTTCGCAACAGTACTAAACGCAAGAGTTCGTAAGGCAAGGAATGAGCTTTCGCACGTATTATCACCAGCACATCGGCATCCAACAAGTATCCCCTAGCACGCCCATCGTGGCGTATCGCCTATGGTAATCCTATCCTTGCTCGTCCAGCACAATGGATGCGAATGTGGGCGATTGCGCCTTGGTGCTGAGCCCCGTTGCGGCGGGCAGCCGTATAACTGCGGCCGTTAACCGGTTAAAGCAGCCGACGTGGCGCTTTATCTCCAGGCGCCCGCCGCAGCTGGCCGGGAGGCGCGCTCTAATTCCGTCTCTTCCATAAAATCGTCTGCTTCCGATGGGGGCGGCGCAGCCTGTGCGGCGGCGCTGCCGCACGATTGGTTGACATTTCCGCCGCCCGCCCCCGCCCCCGCCTTAACTTCCATTTCCCGCGTTGCGGAAGTCCCCGCTGCTTTGTTCGGCGCCCTTCTACCTTTTCGGCCCCTTCCAACCCCGTTCTCTCGCCGGCGCCCTCGCCGGCAGCGCCGTTAGATGTTGTTCAGGGGAGGCTTAACCATAACGTTCATTAGAGCAATGATTTCCAAGTACAGTTTTCATTCGTTAACCTGTCGAAGAGTTGCCAATGACTAATGTTCGAGTTTCCATTCGGGTGTTACTGTACTCTGTATTCGGGCATAAATGTTACCAGCTTCTACAGCATTGATGGTATTGAAGATGTTTGCCTTTTGCCCACGAAATGTGACTAATTTAATTTCATGAAGTTTCTCATGTAACATTTGCCCTGATTGGTAGGCAATTCATTTTGCACTCAGCAAGTGCTCAAAAACCCTTAACGTCAGATACTGACCTGTTCAAAATGACTCTACTGCTAAATGAGTATTTAAAATAGAAGGAAGGTTATGATGGTAGGAGGGCAGCCGTAAGGTATAGACTAGGTATAAGTTAAAAGATATCATTGGTTGGAAAGGAAGGTGCGGTGTGCGTAATTGGTGCGATTGAGGAGGAAAATCAAAGATCATATAAATATCTATGCATGCAATAGGATAAATTAAACGGAATATTACAATAATTGTAGTGGAATTGAGAAAATGTGTTTAATTTGTGAATAATTGAAGTGACAAATTTGGTAATATAGCTAAACCAACGACTAAACAGATGTATCGTATCAGTACTGTATGTAGTTATTATTAAAAGGAACTACATAAGGTATTTTAAACAGCAAATGTTTTCACATTAGCGAATTTTGAAACAGAAGACATTGAAATTAAGGAACTATGCATTATTTTCCCAACGTCTGTAATAAGACAAGAGAAGTTTGTCATATTTTACTTCACTACACTCTTTATAATGTCAATACTTGTTAGCTTGACTCACTTTCACTGGAACAATATTGAGTAATTAGAATATTTGTTAATGAAAAATAACTCTTACTACATAGATGTTTGGAATTGTGAATATTTTTCAAATTAGCGTCATTTGCAACTCAAGAGTTCG